GAAGTCATGGCTCAGCTGCGGAAATTTGATGCAAGTTTCAAATCAAGTGAAAAGGAGTATACAATGCAGCTATAGCCAACCTGAAAATATGTCTAACAAGTGCTAAATATAATTACAAGTGGAAGATTGAGGACTGCTTTGATGATAAGAATGCTCCGTAGTTGCTGCAAGTAATGCTGCACTGAAAGGAGATGCATTTGCCAAAGGGCTGAACCCCTAGGGCCAAACCACTTCTTTGCTAGCTCTGAAGAAGAACCTGAGATTGTTGAAGCTCTAACAACTGGCTGCATCACCTCTAGTCTCGTGGTGCATTAGCCCATGATAGTGAAAACTCTAAGGTCTGTAATCCTCACAAAGGTCACCAGACCAGATAAGCAACTGGCAGGGTCCTCAGGGTGTTTGGAGATCAACTGGCTGGGGTTTTCACTAAAATCTCAAATTTATCACAGTCTTTCAATCCAAAGTGCTTGAGGTTATCTGTCATTGACCCCTGCCTTAAAAAAAAAAAAACACAAGGAGCCTGTATGACCAAACAGTTGCCATGAAGAAGTGTTTCGAAAACGTGATCAACATCACATCACATACTCCCTCTGCCCCCCACCCACATTTGTCATAGACTAACCTGACAACTGTGTGATCAGCTTTGCTTCTGAAACCACCTCAGTTGGATTCATCATTTGTAGTGACTAGACAGCATACAGCTCACTTGGCTGGTAAGATGGTTTGCCAATAACAATTGGGCATTAACACCTCTAAGACCAAAGAGGTAATCATTGATATTGGCCTTTAGTCTATAACCCTCAGTAGGGAATCTGTGAAGAGCTTTAAAGGACTCACCGCAAACTTGCCTTTTTGCTAATACATGTATTAGTGCTCTCTATCTGTTCTGGGCACTATATTATAAATTTACTTATATTAGTTGAAATTCTGTTTTTGTGTCTATAACTGTTAGCGCTCTCCTCTTAACTGGTGTGCAGAATCTGATTTTGAACAGGTTCTGTTGTTGGCTGGTTATTTTGACGTCCATGGGCAAGACGCTTCACCCACATTACCTAATGATGGTTGCCAAAGGGCGTGGCGCCTGTGCACAGCAGCCTCGCTTCTGTCGGTGAGTCCTAGAGCAGCTGTGGGTACAGTGTAGCTTGCCACCATCACTGTGTGAGTTTCTAAATGAGGGAATGTGGTGTAAAGTGCTTTGGTCAAGAGTCCTGATTTGAAAAAGTGCTACAGGCCATTTACCTTTTAAACGCTGACACCAACTTACCACTTAGAAACTGTCCCCATTCTGTGGTTGGAACCCTTGGGTGTCTCAGTCATAGTGGGGAGTTTTTGCATCTTCAAAGTCAATGGTTTAAGCTGATACAGGCCAGGGCTGCTCGCATCCACCTTTTCCCCGATTTCCTCTGTCTCTGGTAAAGACTGCAGAGAAATCCTCTTCCTTATATGACCGCTCCATAATCTCTGTGATCACTCTCCATGCTTGTGTTGATGTCAAAAACATCTTTAAATCACAAATGAGACCACAACCAGCCCTCAACTGAAACATTTTAATGGCTACTACTGTATTACATATGGGAAAAAGAAGGGGTCACTGCAGTGCTTGTGATGAGGGTCCAGTAGTTTTTAAATATTTGGAGAAACCTCAGAAGACACATCTTTATGCAGAGGCTGCCAACTGTCTACTACAGCTGCTCCATTAAGATGTGCTGATTTACAACATAGTTGACTGTACGGCTTAAAATCTGCACCATGGTGAAGAAGAAGGGATCACTGAAGGTCATCAAAACCAGCCAGAGGATCCTTGGACACCCTTTAATTTACATGAAATACCTCCTTATAACTCACTAGCCCCTTCACACTTTCAACATCAACCAGTATTTTGCTGGACCAGGGCTATGTGTGAATAAAACCGGAACAGATTTTCTGGGTAAAACTAACTTGGCAATTTAAGGGATCAAGATCTAGTATCATAATTTATTGGGACAGCTCTAGTGTGAGTTTAACTTTTATATCACTGGGTAAGTCACATATTTGCTTGTTTATTTGCACTGTTCTTAGTAACACATTGTCTAACCACAGTCCTGGCTCCTGCTACATGTTGTTAACCTCCGCAACAGCAGTAACGATGACAAATGGGCTGGTGCCATTCTTACAAACATTTTATCAAGCAACCAGGCAAATGTTTTGAATATCGGGAAACTGAATTGACCGGGAAATAAAAAAAAATTCCTCTCTACAGAGAAAGTAAAATCAGCTCTCGTCAAGGAATCCCTTGCTCGTGTAAGGTCATACTCTTGGTCCTCCTTTAGATCTTCCCCTTTCTCAGTAATGTTTCTGACTGTGAAAAGCTCTGAAGTTGAGATTCTTCATTAGGCTGTTGACAAATGGAAGAACCAGAGGTTCCTAAGCCATTTTTTGTCATGCTAATCAGTTGTTAGTCAGGTGTAATTTCCAGTTCAAAGTTTTTGTTAGGGGTTGGCTTTATCAATTAAAGCTGTATTCCTTGCATTACTTTACCTGCAGGCAAAATTAGATACATCTATACCACCTTTGCTAGGATAAGTCTGAAAAGAGCTTACCAGAAAATGTATTGAGATTATTTGCATGTGCAAAATTGTCTAATTCTGGTTTAAATTGTAAATGTGGTCAAGTAAATTACCGGGACTTATGTGGAATCTGTCTCATACAAGGCCCTCATAATTCTGAGGGTACCATTGCAAGGGTACCAGGTATTTGAGCTGTTGCTCACATATACAGATAGCTAAACTCACACACTAATAGATTGGACAGTTGTTGCTATAACTCTAATCAATACCTTGCTCCTTGGATGTGGACTATGTGCGATACACAAAGACAATGTTTCTTTTTCTATTTTAGGTTGGAACCAATTATATACTGTATTCTCATGATTGCAAATAAAGGGACTTTTAAAGCAAACTGGTTGCACTGAATGTTATTTAGTGTTTAGGACTTAAAAGGGCCAGAATACCTACATTATGCTTGGATGGTTAGATTTATATCTGTAAAATATGATTCAATTCAATTCATTTTATTTATATAGCACTAATTCACAACACGTCATCTCAAGGCACTTTTTCACCAGATCATACAGTCAAATTTAGATTTTAAAGTTTTCTATCTGATTAAAACTATATATCTTTTAGACTTGACTTATCCATCCCTAATTGCATTTTTGTTAAACATTATAACACTATAACCCCAATAAAGCAGTTTTAAATTGTGGTTGTTGTGTGACTTAATGTGAAAAGTAGTGATACTTTCTCAGACTGTGTTAATAGCATGTGGTCAAAGGTGAAGATGCATGACCAACACACAGTATAGGAATAAGCCACAAGTGTTATTTTAGTTCAACCTTTGGTTCACATGTTCTGCTAACAAAATACATCAATTACTATCGCCTGTATTGACTTAGAAAGGCTAATTTGCAATGAAATTTATTGAAAGAGATCTTGAAGATGATACACAAAGGTTCAGACCATTGAAATAGATAAACCACCAGAGTCAGTTGGCTTACAGGCACATTAGATATTAGACAGAGAAAGTGGGCCTCTAAGTGTGACTTTAGAACCCAGAACGTGTTGCCTGTAGGTTTGACTAATACCAGCTTGAATAAAAATAATACTGTGAAAGGCTCTTTCACACTTACAATCACACTTAACACAATTTCATCCATAGCAGGGAGTAGGACTGTGAGAAAATTGTTCTACAGCAATGGAAAAAAATTTCTGCACTTTCCTTGGTCTCACAGACACATAATGAAATAAGATGTTGAATGTTTTTGTTGGCAAAAAGTAAAATGACTGTCCATCCACATGTTTCTAAAATAAATAGGTTAAAGAATAAGACGTTCAAGAAATGTGCTGGCAAAAGCACTTACAAACATGACTTTAATGCTTAAAAAATGTAAATTTTTAAGGGTTCTGATTTTTCATTTTATTAATTATAATATAGTTTATATACTAATTCTAAGTTAGAATACCATTAACAAGTTAATTTGTTTTTGCAGCTAATTTTGACATTTGAAATTGATATAATCATTTATTTATTAAACACAAAAGACATATTCATACAGATTTCTTTTTTGTTAATTCATGTCTTCACCTTCCTGCTGAGTAAATCTTGTATTGAAATTAAGGGATTAATTTAGAGAATTAGAAAAGATGTCAATATAATAAGAAGTATGTCCTATCATAGTACAATCCCACCCAGCAAAAATTGGTTGAAAAGACATTGAGAAGACGACATGATTTACAACGTCCATATTTGGTTAAAACATAAAAGGTGAGAAGCTGTAATTTTCAGATTGTTGAAAAGATGTGGAACCCCAGTTTTCAACGTCTATTATTTGACTTAAGTGGCACAAAATCAGAGAGACCAAACAAAGCCCAATTTTCCTCAAATATATTTAAACTAAATCAAGACTATGACGGACCGAACAGATTTAGCTTAAAAAAACAACGTCTAAATGACGTCTGGTGTTTGGGGGGATATATCCATTCAATACTTTTCTGGTTCTGTTTGTACATTAATTACTGCATTACTACAACCAGGTATTGGTGAAATTGCACTGTGAGACTGCTGAGGTACAGCAGTACACACCATCCACTCAATAGTGTGTTCCTCTGTCGCTTGTGTACCTTTTCTATCAACACTTTACATTAATGTAATTTGATACAGCCTTTTGTTAACAGCCATCTTCTTGCCAATTATAGCATCAGTTGTGGCACACTCTCGTTATTGAGATTGTCAGTCACTGTCGGCTGGGCAACTGTCAACTTAGTGGTCTTCCACATGACAGAGGAGGCCATAACATGGCTGCAATATAAAGTTGTGAAAGTACATTAATATGAAATAAGATTAAAGTACAGACAGAGGGATATATGTGTATTTTTGTATTTGCTAAATGTGAAAACTTTTAATGAAATCAATCTAAAAAAGAAAAAAAGAAACAAAGAAAAAAAAAAACATGATGGACTGCAATTGAGCAATACATTTTGCCAATGGAACATTTTTGCTTCATGTAAAATGGATGTTTGAGTGCTTTTAAAAAGCAACTTTTCCCTTTTACATTTTGAGCTATCTAACGTAGGGCAAAAGAGGACAACGGCAGCCTCTGTTTTGCACAATTTTAACATTCATCTGCTCTTGTTAACATGCTAAAAAAAACTGCAAAAATTAAATCTAATAAAAATCCATTCCTCTAATTGACAAATCACACAATTAATCAATGGAGTAATTAAAGAGTAAAATAGGAGCTGGGTTTAAATGCAAAATACACCCTTGGTGTTCAAAGGAAAATTTTAAATCACCTTTAGCTGACTTTGTTGACGTTATTTCTCCGCAGTAGATATATTCAAATTTGCTATATACAATAAGAAAAAAAAAAAAGAAAGAAAGAAAACATGCAGTTGGGCTTAACTATTCCAAATGTGTCTCCATGGTCAAAATGTGAAATAAAATCCCCTAAACCAACAGCATAATGGACATAACTGATGCAAAACTATTAGATCATTTAAGCTCCAAAGCAAATAACTATGCCTTCCATTCCCCACTGTGAAGGCCCAGCCAATCTATGATCTAGCTGTTTTCACCTTTGTTCCAGACTCATAGAAATCAGAGGGCAGAATCCCTCAAATAATGTGTGCCAGGAGAACATATTTTAAGAGACCATTAAACGTGATACGAGTTTGGGGCTTTTTTAATGGCAGCTGTACTGGGCAATTGTCTGTATGTGTTCTGCAAAGTGCAGTAAAATACCATCTGTGCTTCAGTAAAGGCAGCCTCAAGTCTGTTGAACAGTTATAAGGAGCCTGATGTTGTTGTTAAGCAAGACATCTTCTTGTTAAAATGGCTATTTGCAATACTGTTGGTATTAGTTACACTTTGTTTTTCGTGGAGAGGGCTTAAAAAGCTTTTTAATAGTAAAAGAAAACCTAGAAATACTACATTTTGTGTCTGTTTAAATAATATACTGCTGCACAAGTTTATTTGATAAGAGTCTTTCAATTGTGCATGTTTAACCAAAGAGGATAATTTGAACTCAGTTTTCATTCCAACATGGAGACAATTAAGCTCTTGTTCGGCAAATTTAATGTGCTCCCTACAACGCAGTGATTCCCTGGCAGTTTCTACCCCTTTGCTGAGGCCTATTGCTGGCATAAGCAGCATTTAGGCAGGTCTTTCTCTTTGTTCTCAGCTGTTGTGCTCTGTTACAAACAAGCTGAAGGTAGAGAAAAAAGGCAAATGAATAAATCAGGTATTCACGCTGCAAAATCGAGCAAACAAGTAAGCTCAAGTTTCCAGCTGTCCATATCTGAGATATTCTCAGATGGCCCAGCAGCTGTTAGTGTTCATTCAAATCCCAGGTTAAAGCACCCCCGTGTTTTGACATAGATAATATTCAGTGTTAACATGCTTCAACAAGCTAAGAATAATCAAAAGTGCAAGACATTGAGATTTTTCATTTTGCTCATAAGCTTTAGACTGTAAATAAAACATACATTTTAGTTCAAATCTTAGAATATTTTGAATTTAAAATTGCATAAAAAAAAAAAAAAAAACATGAATTGTTTGATATAGGATTTTGGTTTTCGTCTTTGAAATATAAATTTTTCAAACCGGCAACAGATGATCATTAAAGTGTGGTAGTCCAACTTAAGCACATTTGTCTGCAACTTCAATTCAAAACACATATAAAGCTAGGTTATTCAATTCAAATTCCCCAGGTTCGATGTCCTGTCCCATTTAGTTGTATGTCTGCTTCAACACACCTGAATCAAAAATTCAGGTGATTAGCAGGACTCCAGGAAACTTGAAAGCATACTGAGGAAATAATTTCAGACATTAAATTCAGTTTTTTAAGGTATAAAAAAACATTTAAAAGGTGAAAGACACTGGACCTAGAGGACTGGAACTGAAGATCCCAATACAGAATGCCTTAAAATAAAGGAAACCATTTTCAAATTGACTACACTACAAGTCTACATGTTTTTAACCACTTAAATACTTTGTATGTCTCTGCAGAGGAAAAAGATTATAACGCTTTTCAAAAAAAATGCTACAAAACTTTTTTGCTTTGCCGAGATTTAACAATATTGATCAAAATGACTTTCACTTGTATTTCCTTACAGGTGTATTGAATGTTTCCCATTATCATAAGCTTACCAAAAAAAGATGTTCTCAATCATTACCAACTTCTGTGGATGGTTAACTCGAATTTGGACAAGGAAAAAAAAGGCAAGAAACTTTGTAACCGCAAAGAGCAGCAGGATACACTTAATTCAAACAAGACATGTTTACACATACAGTAGGTGTGCAACGCCTTGAAACTTTTGTGTTTATATTAACTGAATTATGATAAAGTAATGCCAATTAAGTTACACAAAAAACACAATTACTTCTAATTCTTTTTCAGGAGTCAGGGAAGCATTTAAATGCACAGGGTAACTGTTTAAAAAAAAATATATCAATAATTGTGAGTGAAACATTCTGCATAGTCCATGCTGTAGAATAGCCCCCAGCCAAATAAAAAAGAGAAAGTCTCAGGGGTAACTTTTTAGATACCTGCGTATCTGTTGCGGAGAATATTCTCTATTGCAAAGCAGGGAAATGAAACGAGTCGGCAAATTGTTTTGTTTTACTTTGATTAGTTTGAAGCATCTCGACTAGGTGTGGAATTGACTATAATTTAATAATACAAAAAAGGGAGAGTAGAAGGCAACATATTGTCTGACTATGAAGGAGATAGTTAGGGACGGGCTTGTGGATAAACCGGTTAAAATATAAACAGCTGTTTATTTGCAAGACAACTGATCATTTTTATAGTAAAGACACAACTTTTTAAGGAAGGGTAAAGCTTTATGCTATCAGTTTCTCACTTAAAGGTGATTTTCCTGCACTTTACCTTGTGGAGTTCAATGGGTGCAGCAGTCTCTATAGTGTGCTGCAAAATGTATTATACAGACAAAAGCATGCATTTTTTAAGCACCAAAACTAAAGCTCCTTAGCATAAAAGAAACACAGTTATTTAAATATCAAAATTTAACTAAAGATCTTCAGCAAGGTGCATTCATTCTTCTCAAATTAACAGCTGTTGTGCGAGTTTCAATCTTCAGCACCACAGACAGTGACATGCCTGGTTTCCCTTCAAGGCCTTCCCTTTTAAAGTATGCATTCCTTCTTTCACTTCAAGTTGCTTCTTTAAATAACAACGATGAATCAGCCTATACAATACAATATCATTTATTAAGCGGGACATATATATATATAGGGATTCTTCTAATTTTTTCCACAATGTACATTAAGTGAGCAAAGTCACTGAACATTAAAATCAGTCAAAGCTACGCAAATTCCAAAATGTAGAACACATAGTACTGTGAATATGTACTTCATAAATTAGATATCTATTTTCTTGTTTAAATTATTATTGTTGTTCTTAAATAAAAGGGTTGTAAGTCATCTCTTGAGGCTGGAATATGTCGCCTTTACTGTAATATCTTTCTGTCTGCAATGTTCCCTCTTTCTCTCATGTAATAAACTCATAAGCGGCCCACAGTTTGGCTTATTTTCAATACGTTGAGCATTCAGACGCAACACCATAGACAGCACAACAAAAAACATAAAAAAGTGGAAACTTCCATTCGTGCAAAAGAAAAAAAGGAAGAAAGAAAGAAGAAAAGAAAAAGAGAAAAAAAAGCCTCTGGGCGTGGATACGTTTCTCTCTTCCTGGCTGTCCGTAGATACCTCACCATTTATTCTTTAAGGCTATACAAACAGAAATAAAGCATAACACAGTCAGGTTTTTTTTTCCTCCACATCCTCGTCTTCAACGTTGCTAAAAAGTTTGGTCTCCAGGCAATGAGGGGGAAAATCCACACAGTCGACAAGCACATGCCACTCACTGGCCCGATCGATACATTTTAGTCATCCAGATTGCGTAAAAGTCGATAGGTTTGAATATATGAAACTCCAAGGAAACGTTGAGAGTTGACTATAGTGTTAGACGGAGTGTACAGATATTCGTCGGCTTCCTTGGCTGACAGTTTGCAAAATAAATGGCATGTTTTTGAATATACTTTTTTCTTGTTGTTCCTTAACTTAAGCGTAGTCCCGATCCTCGATGATGGGATTATAGAGGAAAGACTAGAAAGCCTGAGAAGGTTGAGTATTTCCATCCGCCCATAAGGGTGCCCCGCTCCAGCTTTAAGTACACCCGGTCCTCACGTTCCACCATCAGCAGCACGCCGTTGCTGGCGGCCTCCCTTGTAACGTCCTGGTCACCCGCGAAAGCGGATATAACGGGATAGTCGTTTTGCATTAGGTTGACCTGAAAAAAAGGGAGCAGAAAAACGGCTTATTGCGGTGTATGTCATATTTCACTGGATAAATGATCAGCTACCACTTCATGCTCTCTTACCTGTATAGTTTGTCTGTTGTAGACCTTCACAACGTGAAAGCTGAAACTATAAATCCCCCTTCTTGGAGCCTGGAAAACACTCGCTTTTAGGTCGAAATGATTGCCGATGTTGACTAAAACCTGTGATCCAAAACGGCGCACAGTAAAGAGAAGCAGTTAGATCAACATTACAGCTTTTTTGTAGTCATGTTTTCGTCTGGCATGCATGGGGGCGCGCGTGCCAAATGTGTAGGGCAGTGCTTGGGAGGACTCTCTGTTGCATGAATAGGCCTCTCTACAAACATCCCAGATGTGTGGATTTGTTGGAGCTACTAATCAAAGCTGTATATCTTCCCTGTGATAAATATCTCTGGAATAATAGTTGCTTTGTTGGCTTCACATCATTCTTTGCGCCAATTTCGCATCGGATTCTTTGAACTATTTCCAAAATGTTCCAAATTGCTTTCACAGTAACTTTTAAGAAAATAGTACGTAATGCCCACGGAAAACATTATTTACCCATATCTATTCTATATAGTATTATTTAGCTGTGTGCAATATTTACCTGATCAAAATAGATGGTCATTGACGTGTTGCTCATTTCAGACGGCTCATGATTAGTCCCGCGTACGGCGGAGAAAGCCACTTTCGCCCCTGCGGAGCGGACGGATATGCCAAGTGAGGAGGTCACCGCTCCATCCGAGGAAGGGTTCGAGTCACACACCACTAGACACTTTCCCTCCAGCACTATGGGCTCCGTGTCGTTCTGGCCGGAGCACAGGACCACGCCACATCCCAAGAAGAAAGCCAGTGCCAGGATGGCACAGGGTCCCGGGCAGCGCGATGGCACCATAGTTGGATCACTGGATCCAGCGTACAATGAGACAACCCTGGCAACCCCTTGGAGGTTTATTGATCACCTGGTTCAGGCTCGTTCCCCCTTTTCCTCTCTCTTCCTTTCTCTCTTCCTCTGTCTGCGATGCTCCCTCGCTCTTTGACACAGACGCACTTAGGCTCCCCTCCCTCCTGTGCGTCTTAGATTTTGGGAGATGATTTACACTGCTATATTTGTCATTCCTGACGACAGAGTAGAGAAAAAAGTTGAAAACTACACGTAAAAAAAACAAAACAACTGAAAGTTAATAACGTTCTACTCGGTGAGCCAGTAATTTCTTTATGCGTAAAATAAGCTCTCGTGCGTAAAGTAAACAGATACTGCCAGTGAGTACAGCAATAGGTAGTAATAAACATCTGATCGTTTGTTACAAAATTAAATATAATTTTACTTTATGATGATGACATAAAACTGAATCTGAAATAAGGCTATTTAAGTATATTCTTTTTTTAAAAGAAAAGAAAAAAGATCCCATTCTTGGTTTACCTGTGCTCTCCATCCCGCTCTTGTGTTCGCTGTCTTTCACAGGCAGAAGTGAGATCCTCTGATCGTTGGAAGAGAGAGAAAAACGAAAGCAGGGGTCTCTAGGCTCTCCTTTCGAGGGACAACTCACGCCCATTCTTAGTGTGTGAGCCGCTGCAAGCAAGGCTCCTCTACAAGTGCCCCTAAAATAAGAGAAAAGGTGTAGACTAATAGCTTCGTTTACTTATTAATCAATTCGACGCCCTAAACTCTTGAGTCCCCAGAGTACGTGTTGGATAGCTATCTTTTATTGTCCTCTATTAACGTGGATCTTTGGTTTTACATGTGACTGTATAAACTTAAAAAAAAATGAAAGCGTTTGCATAGGATAACCCTGGCTGTGCATGTCACAATCAGCATGCATCTTTGTATTTTTGATTCAGGACTTTGGTACTTAGGTTTTTCAATACAGGTACTCGTGCGCCATCCAGCGGCTAAATTCATCTTTGCAGTTGTGCTCCATTCTAGCACAAATAAATCATTAAATAATTTTGTTAAAAAAGAAATCTACAGGCTTCTCCACATCCACAGAAATAATCAAGAAATATTTAATACAGTATGTCAGCTGAAAAAAAAAGGGTCTCTTGAATAAGTTCACAAAGAATAAGCTTCACCTGTCTGGCGAAACTTTAACCTTTTCTTTTGAAGCCCTGACATGTCAATGTCCTTTGAATAGCAGTGTGAGGGCTTCTTCTGCATGCCCCTCAGGGCTTTAATGACCTGTCATTTATACTATTTTTCTACTATTTTAAACTTAAAAATATGCAAACTTGCATGAATCATTAACATGTATTCAAGGAGCTATTTTCTTTAAGTTAATCTATTCAGAATTTAGCTGGAGAAATATAGGCTAAACACATAAACAGGCTTTAGTGTGTTTTAGTATAATTTTCATATGTTAAAACAAAGGACTGCATAATTGGGAAGTGGGATAAATGCTTGTGTGGTACGTCACTTTTCTTTGTTATCTTGTCCTTTTTTTCTTGTTTTGTTAATGTCTTACTCTAATTGCTAGAACAAAAATGTCCAGTTTAAATAGAAATAGACCTGATGAATAAAGGGGGTCCATCGGTCTGTGAGCTGTCCAACATATTGTACTGTATCACAGTCAAACCTGCAATATCAATGTGAGCATAATTCCAATTCAAATTACTATTTCTGTTCTTTGTATGCAAATTATGCATACCAGTGATACACCTGGCTTGTTGAAAGAGATTTCATGGCCCTTGATGCCCACACCTAATGCATTTTTAGTGGCTGGGGAGCTAAAAATCACAAAGCCTGGTGGACTAACAGGATTGGAAGAAAAGACAAAAAGGAAAGGAAAAGAACTATGGAGATGTTTGAAAATTAAAATCTACATCACCATTACAATAAGAGTACTGCAATGATACTTTTTACTGATATAATTGAACCCTATCAATTTTTTCAGAGAACATTTTTGTAAAACCAAAAAAAACAAAAAAAAAACAGCATCATTAAGTCATTAAACCCAATGAACACAATGAGCTTTGGGTTACAAAACAGTCTTTAAATACAAATTAATCGTTGGCAAAAGTAAGACTTCCATAGCAATTCTCTTTTTATATATATATATATATATATATATATATATATATATATATATATATATATATATATATATATATATATATATGATGTGTTTTACATGATACACATGTGAAAGTATAAATAGTGGTCAGGTGAGACAAAACTGAACATTTTGTCAACCGAAGAAGCAAAACACACACAGTAACAACACACCCCACCCTTAATACTACCGTAACCTCTCTTTGAAATAGGATCATTCTGATCCCAGATCAGAGTTAGCGGGATGATAGAGTGTATTGAGTAAACCTGAAATGCTGTAAAACACTTAAGATAGAGAAAGACAGTTACCTTCCATCTGTATAACAATTCCAAACAAAAAGCCAGAGCTTTGTTGGAATGATTTAGATCAAAGCATAATGTGTTAGAATGTACCAGTTCAAGTCCAGGCTAAAATCCAATTGTGAGACAACACTTAAAGATTGCTGTTCACAGGCACACTCTATCTAGTCAAATTGAGATTGAGTTATTTAGTGAAGATGACTAATAACACATGTCAGCCTCTATGTGCAAACCCAGAGAAGAGATACAACAAAGACTTATAGTGGTAACTAAAGTGAAAGGTAGCTATACAAAGTACAGATAGACTGTTACTATCAGTACCAAATATATAGGAAACTATTATTTGTCTTCTTCATCAGGAAGTGATGCTTTGTGAGATATCTTTCCAAAGAAATGGAGAAAAATATAGGTAAAGGTTTTATTCTTGTATTAAATATCATATTTAGACACTGTACCTTATCAACAATTTGGTAAATAACTGACAAAATATAAATCTGTTACTCTTCAAACCTGAGGCTTCACTAAATCTGAAATCCCAAGTTTAAACAGCAAATCCCTAATTTTAGTCTTAATGATGGTTAATACTTTTCTGCTCTCAGTCTCGTTTGTCAAGCGTTGCTCTGTCAGAGCTTACTGGCAAACCATGCAGAAGGGTGACATCAGGTATCCAAGAGCCACAACTTTCCCCAGGCCTTCCAAAGGACAGACAACTACAGAAAACATCAAATGTCAAGTACAGGGGGACATGCTCGGAAAAGAGATGTGGCCTACTTAATGTTACCATACCAGGGGCTGCTGTTGCCCTGAAAGGGACTTCACTTCTATCAGGAAAGCTGATCGGCGAGACTGACAACAGAGTTATGGTTATATTCACTGACAGCCAGCAAAGCCTACTGGCCTCCTTGAGTAAAGAGGACAGTTATGTGATGGGTATTAAAATGAGCCATCTGTTTTAGATATATATATTTATTTATTTATTTTTATTTTATTTTTTATTTTTGCAATATGTTTTGCCTTGTGTTCTTTATATGTCAGAAATAAGATTACATCAGCACAGCTCCACTAAGAAAGACATGATAAGATGTGAAGCAATACATTTTTTCTCCTTCCTTCTACACTAATGGGATCCTTTGTCTATACATCTCTATTTAACCTATACAAGTTATTTTTACACATAATGCAAATAAAACCAAACTCCAAGCTGGCCAACAGCATGTGCTAGTACAAACATTTTAAATATCTGCAAGACCATCTGTCCATCTGTGTGTGCAGCTTTAAATAATACTGTATATTAATGTCTGGAATTAGGTCACAATATTGAAGTCTTAAAATAAATAAATAAATTAGGATTTATCTTGGAATGCGCAGAGATGCAGTTGGTAGCAAGAAGGTCCTGGGTTCAAATCCCAGCTTAGAGTCTTTCTCCGTGGAGCAGGCATGTTACCTTCTGCTCATAATCTGAAAAATAATGACAGTTATGTTGATTGTTGACCCGCATTTGTTTGTGTGCTTGGGTATATGTCTGTATATTGCCCTGCAATGGAATTGTGACCTTTGCAGAGAGTACTTTGTTAGAGATAGGCCATAGCACCACATGAGCCTGACAGACATGTGGTAGTAGATGGATGGATGGATGGCTGGATGTATCATCTCTTGTGTCAGTAAGATGCCATCCCTATCTTAAATTAGACTAAAAGAGACCAAAAAAAAAACTTTACTATTACATGTTCTTATATGGCAGGTTTTGGGTTAACTTTATGATTAAGTTTAATATTTGGGTTAAGAGACTCACAGCAGACAGTACTATCTCCCCATTGGTGTGGGTGTGTGTATGAAAAGTTGATATAATCACAATGTGAAGTTTTTATTCATCTTAGATTTAAATTAAGTAATTTAAAGCCGTGTGTTCTTCCAGACACACATATATATATATATATATATATATATATATATATATATATATAGTGCAAAATAAGTAGCAAATGTTCAATATTTTGAACAAACATCTTTTAATGCAAACAATGGTTTGTTCGTTCATGGGATTGCTATTACACATTCAGCAGCTTGTACTTTTCTGAAATCATCAAATATATTAAGATAAGACAACATTAAAGATTTTATCCAGTGCCGTTTTTTCCACTATTATGCACACCGATGAAGTCTGGATTTCTACTTCTGGGTTTTACAAAATGCAAGGTTTTAAAAAAGTGCAGCAATGAGAACAATTGACAATTAAAACGTGCGGTTGTTAAAAATAAAAGTATGACATGGAAAATAAGGCTAGATCAAGTGTAACTAAGATGCATTTTAAATTGAAATTTCTTTATGACTCAGTATAAAACGATATTCATCATTTAGCCCAGGGGTCTTCAACGTTTTCCAGGCCAAGGAACTCCAAACTGATCGACAGATGGAGCTGGGACCCCCTAATTATACATGTTGTATGAAATTGTGTTATATCAAAATGGTCCTATAGTCACTCTAAAACATACGGAGTCATGTAATGAAAGTAATTTCACCCTGGGATTATTAAAGTATCTCTGATTCTGATTCCTGGTTGATGGGACAGGTGTTGTGAATGAAACGGTGTCCAGCTTGAAAGAGCTCCAGTGTGTCGATGAATGTGTGCATTGATGACTGAAAGACATCTTCTGCCTCCATTTATCTGTTTACTACAGTGTGTTGAATTCATGTTAAATTGTATTTAAAGACATTTCAATTAGTGGAAAAAAATTGCAGGAGGGGAATATAAAATAAGTCTAACTCCAACCAAAACTTTCGAGACTCCCATGCATTACTTCCGCGGACCCCCTAGGGGTCGCGGACCCCCTGTTGAACACCTCCGGTTCAGCCTACAGTATATTCTGGTCAATGAGTGGGATGTTGCCTGCCTTTATTTTGAAGGCACTCTAAACTATTGGAACCGAACTATCTGCTGTTCTCCTTTTCCTGTTTAAGAGTCGCCATTTGTTGTTACCATGGAAACGAGACGCAGAACGTGAAAGCTTTATAGTCTGATGTTATATTACAGGCGCACAAGTGAACAGAATTGTGAAAGTGATCTAGAGTTTCCTCCGCGACATTAGCACATAATTGTTTGGCAACGCGCGTGGATTGTAGCGTAAAATGACCCAACGATATTTTTTGTCATAAAAATTTTGATATGGCATCTTTCAAAGCAGTTACTCCAAGACTGCGAGCAGGGAGTGCGTCAAAAAGAGCGGACGAACGAACAGCAATGTCCACTCAAAGTCTCTTTGAGAGGTAAGCAGTCAAAGTTTTATTGTAACCAATATTCTCTCAGTGCGCATAATGCGCACACAGCATAATGAAGACCAAGAAACAAAGCTGATAGGCCCGGGGTAAAGTTTGTGGAGAATTTCAA